CGTTGATTTCTTTCAATTTATATACGGAGGGTAACTTAATTACCAAATTAACGTAACTAGCACATTTATTGTAGTGTTGATTAGAACATAATATTTTACTTAAAGCGGACATTTGGTAATCTCAGGTTCATATTTGTATGTTGTGCCTCCACTGTGACATGTGACAGGCACCTCTTTTCACCCTCTGTCTGAAACCAGAGCACCGTCTGCTCTGATTGGTTACCTGGCCGGCTCTGTTGTGAATGGTCAACAGCTTACAGATATCACGTACAGTGTGTTGGACATGGCCAATAGAAGCGTGGGTGTTACTTTGTGATGTCACTATGTTACAAAAGTCAACAATAGAGGCGTTTTAGGCAGGGGGGGGGGGGGGGGGGGAGTGTGGGAAGACAGGGATTTTAGCCTATGCAGACCATTTACATGCACACTACAGGAAAGGAAGAACCCCAGAAATATAATACGGCCCCTTTAAACTTACCAACCACAATTTCAAAACTATAACCAGAATCTGGAAGTCATACGTTTGTATTAAAACGTTGCTGTCTGCACAATATCGTGCCTGAATGCATTCTGCTTTAACACTGACGTAGGAACAAGGCTGCTGTCATGATGCTCACTTCTTCCGTTTCACAGGCTGGATAATGTGTATGAGCTCTGCTGCACGCAATAACAAAAAGAGACAATAATCAATTCATGTTTAGGGTAAGGATTTAGCTCCGGAGCTCAGATGGTAGATGCTTTGCTCACCCATTGTTCACACATGAGTCTGTAGCTCCGGGCGTATTTGGGTTGAGCATGTCATTTACATACGCTGCTTAGAATGTGCTCTTATATCTTGATTCCTTTCCTGGGAAATGGGTTTCCACGCAGTGAAGTCTTGGCTGCTCATTACAGTACATCATAGCGAACTGACTGCATGTGTGAAGACGAGGTTAGCGAACGGTGAGTGTCCTGGGAATACTCTGAGGGTCCTCACAAGTACAAGCGCACCAAAGTACATACTGTCTGTGTGTGAGAGGGAAAGTGAGAGAAACGGACGATAAAAAACGCCAACAACAATCTTTCAACTTGGTGGTGTGTGTGTGTGTGTGTGTGTGTGTGTGTGTGTGTGTGTGTGTGTGTGTGTGTGTGTGTGTGTGTGTGTGTGTGTGTGTGTGTGTGTGTGTGTGTGTGTGTGTGTGTGTGTGTGTGTGTGTGTGTGTGTGTGTGTGCAGAGGCAGCCTGGTACATGTCCCAAACTGGGTCAGGTTACCTGTACAGTGATCGATTGTCTCTCAGCTCCCCACTTTGATAACCAGTGGCAAAATAACTCAATCAAAGAGCACCCCGTGAGCCCGGAGACGCAGTGATATTAATCAAAGACAGAAGTGCTGCATTGATCTTCGGACAATCAATGCAGTACACATACAAGTCCGTGCTCTTTGGGCTACACTTCAATGGGCTTACGTTGCGTGAACTCACATGGAATAGAACAGGGAATTTATCTGCTTGCATACATGCACACTCACATGCTCCAAACAGCACATCCAAATATAGCCCTATTGTCACTCTGTGGACTCAGCAGTCCCTAATGAATAGATGTTGGATACATTTGAAGGGTGGTGAGAACACTGAGAGAAGAGGAAGTGGATATAAATGCAGGACAGTAACAAATATGGGTTTATTGTTTGTTGTATGTCTTGTCTTTCTCTGTTTGAGCAGGATTATGGAAGGAAAGAACGTAATAACTGAAGCAGAAGTACAACCAGGTGTAAGAAATAGGAGCTGCACCATTTATTGGTTGTTCTCCGTCCATCTGCAGTACCTAGATCTCCAGAGTATGTCAACAACTGCCTCCACAGAGACCAGAGAGAGAATGAAATCTTCCAGTGCAATATGCCACCTAAGCCCGTGCCAACATTTTATATTTGAAATCCTTTCAAATATTTATTTTTGTTTGATTGAGCTCTGCGCTCCACCTGGGACAATCTGAACAGTCTCCAAAGGTGAAATCAAAGCCAATCTGGCATCCAATACAAATTCAAAAAGGAAAGTATTTCCTGGTGTAAAGCAGCAAACTGCCTGCCTTTCAAAGTCTAAAATACATAATGAAGCAGGTAAGTATACATTTTTTTAATCCGTTTTGACTTTCAATCATGACCCTGTCTTCATCAGAGCACGTTGCAGGGGGATGAGTTTGTCTTTTAGATTCAGCTGTGCGACCGAATCACAGACGTCCATCCCGCTGAAGTGAAGTTACGGCCCGGATCGATTCTACGACCCTCCCTCAGTCCCTCTCTTTCTCTCATTATCTCCTCCTTTCCTCTCTTCCTCCTCCCAATCCCTCCCCCTCGCTCGATCAGTCCCTTGAGTTCAAATGAAATAGGCTTGAGTTAGCTGTGTATCGCCTGTTTGGAGTCAGACAGGCGTCCCCAGGAGAGACAGGCCTGTGGTGGAAAGATCTTCCTCTGCTTTTATCAACTCATCTCTGAGAGGGGAAAAAGAAGCCAATAAAAGTTTCCTATGCTGCAGTTCTTCAGAGTGCTGTGACTTCTGTGCTAAAAAGTTTCGCCCGGGTTTCCGACAGTGTTTATCACCAAGGTGGCATGAAAACAAACTCTAATCTGTCAAATTAGCATGACAAATAGGTTTTAAATTCAATTTGCTCGTGAACACACGCTTGGTGCAGAGCAAATTAAGAACAGAACGTGTTGGTTAGTGCAACATCTCGATACATCAGATTAAATCAATATGAAGACAGTGTATCCTGCATAGAAAACTATCCTGTGGTGACATCATGTAACAGATAGAGGACATTGAGACAGACAGAGGACACTTAAGGAATATCTCACAGGGTAGTGGTCATTGTGGACACCTCAAGGCAGGATAAAAATCACCAATCAAAGCACACTGTCAGCCCGGCACCGACCAATGACATCTCACTTTAATTGCATCGTAGTGACAGTCGCCTGCACGGCAGCACTTATTCACTGCAGGAGAATGCACCACCTAAACACTACATTATTTGAGTCACGTTCAAGCTAAAAGTGGTTGTGTATGAGTGTGTGGTTTTGTGTGTGTGACTTCTGAATGGCTGTTGGTGCACAAAGCAGCATGTGTCCGCGCTGCACTGAGTGTGTGTGCGGCTCATCGAGCTGTTGACCTCAGCGGGGCGTTACGCAGCCACAGATAATGAGCCTTAACGTTCTATTTCATCTTTCTCAATAAGCAGGTGCACAGCAGACACCTGATGGCCTAAAGGTCATGAAAGCAACTCAGCCTGAAAACAGATTACACAATGCAGGCAAGCAGGTAATTATCAAGACAATCATAAATCGTAGAGGAGGCAATAGAGTTTCCCTGCCTTAGCAGCGCGCTGGTTGGATTTAGTGTTGGTGGAGAGTGGAGAGGAATTGAGTTTTCGCCATTAACGCTCAGCTTGAAGGCTGCTTACCTCTATAGAAACAGGATAAATGTGAAGCACCATAGATATACTTCTCACGAGGATTTTTTTGTGCATGGCTAGCAAGAGTACTTTGGATTTGATGTGACTATTATTCATTCTTACAGGGGAGCTATTATGCTTTTTGGGATGTCCCTTTCCTGTAGTGTGTTATAGAGGTTTGTGTGCAGGTAAATGGTCTGCTAAGGCTAAAATACCAAATGTCCCTCCATAGGGAGTCTCTCTCCCACACACTCCCCCCTCTGCCTGAAACGCAGACTCCTTTGCTTACTTCCGTAACATGGTGACATCACTATGTAACCCTTGTGCTTCTATTGGCTAGCGCTCCAACACGTTGTACGTGATAGGTTAAGGGGCGGGACATCTCTAAGAGTTGACCAATCACAACAGAGCCGGCCAGCTAACCGATCAGAGCGGACTGGGCTCTGGTTCCAGACAGAGGGTGAAAAGAGGTGCTGCAGCACAGGCAGTGTGAGAAAAGTAAAGAGCTTTTTGAACATTAAAGCCTGGAGACATGTCCCAGGAGAGACACTACATACTAATATGAACCTGAGAATGAGCATAATAGGGCCCCTTTAAGCTAATTATCCTGGCGTGTTATCCAAAAGAGAGCAAAGTAATTCAAAAGTGGTATACAATGTTTTCAGACTTGCTTATGCCTGATATTATTTGGGAACATACTATTCACTTTAATGCAAAATAATTATAAAAAAAACAGGTTGAATCCGTTTCAAGTAATCATCCCTTATGTATTGGTTGTTGTGCCTTACTAAATGTATTCTAAACTTGTCACAAGACCTGTGTCAGCCTGTCTCTGTATTGCATTAGCTGCCTAATCATCCGTCCAACTGGGACATACAAAAAGTAACCTAATGTTTCCCCTCTTTATAATTCATACATCACAAGTATTATTTTTAGTGGTGAGCTTTCAGGGGTCTAACACTTGGTCGAACTCCATTAGGCTTACAAATTAGCTTTTAAATGCTTGGAATTATTTAAATGTCCCACATTTTGTTATGCTATTAGACTAATGAACGCAGAGTATATCTCCTCCAACAGGCTGGATGTGTAGCCTGTTGACAGCACATGGTACCGCAGGGGATAAAGATCCTGACAGCTGATAGTACGACCGCTGTGTTTCACCTGCTCTCCGCAGCACTAACACAAGGTAACATGTCACGCATGGGTAGCTGTGAATTGAATCCGGCCGCTTGAATCCAATAGAGGCCCCATGCAGCCAACGTGATCCACTAATGTTTTGTTCAGCTTAATTGAGCATTGTCTATTCAACTTAGCCTCACATCTTCATCTAATAGCCACAGTGTCCTGGAAAGTGTAATTACTTCACTGGCAAAGTTACAGCAAAGAAATATGCAACTTTGGGAAGCCATGGAAAGGAGGAAAATTTCAATTAGCTTTTTCCATGAATGTTTGTCACAACTTCTGCAAATCAATCCAACTAATCCAACATGCATGCACATCAAATTAATGTCTGCCCTGCCACCCCTCATAATAAACACACATGCAGTACGACCCACAACATTTCCCTTTACATCACCTGCAGAGAGAGTCCTGGCGGCAGACCCTGCGATGCTCCAGACAGTTGGGTTTCTCTTTATCTTTGTACGAGCACTCAGGAACGATAGTCTGCCTGCGACGCTCTGCGCAGCCCTCGCTCTGGCAGGGGCAGAAAAGCAGCCGGTGGCTAAACTCTGGGGGCACGCGGTCCAGGAACTGCCTCAGCGCTTTGTGGCAGCGCTTCTGGCTGCAGACTTCCCCCTTGTTGGTGTCCTCCTTGCTGCAGGTGGCGATGTAGGCGGAGCGTTGCCTCTTGCAGCTGTTGTTCAGGTTGCACGCTTTGGCCGCGTCCAGACAGGGGTTGCAGTTTTTCTCGGCGTCGACACATTGGAAACCTTTTGGGGCCACTGTGAGCATGCCTGATGGTGGAATCAAAGAAGAGAGAGAAATCATCAGACATGTCTTTTCCAAATAGTTTAAGATTGAACTTTTTATTGTGATTTCATACTATGTACCCCTTAAAGGTCACCTATTATGCAAAATCCACTTCTTCATGTCTTTTCTACATCAACATGTGACCCTCTGTGTAAAGAGACTCTGAAAGTTTCAAGAAAAAAGATTCCCTCTCTTTTTGTCCTGATCCATTTTTATAAAAACCTGTCTGAAAATGAGCTGATCAGATTTTGGCCACTTCATGATGTCATAAGGATTTGTTGACTTGTGTAACCATTAGCCAATCACCAACCAAGGTAACCCCCCCCCCCCCTTATCACCTGAATCTCCTCCTAGAGCACCATTGAGTTCTTTTTAACCAAATATCTCTCAGAGGGGCGTGGGGAGGGGCTCCTTATTTTCATCTAAAGTAACAGACAGAGAATCAGCACTTTTGAAACAGGGCTGAAACAGAGAGGATTATGGGATGCTACAAGGATGTGTTTGGTGTTTGGAGCCAAACACTTCAGAACCATGTTTTGTATATATCTGAGACCTATTATATATTGATGAAAAACAGTATAATAGGGGACCTTTAAAGGGTTTCTGCATCCTGGAGGATACATTGTTCAGATAAGGTTATACAACAGGGACAATCACTTACAGATACACTTGTGTTTTGATGCCTATGCTCTACAGATATCAGATAAAAAGGTGTAATAACAGTCAAATATGGCCGTACAGTAGGATGGTTGTAATACTGGTGTAACATGGGTGTAATATAGGTGCAATATGGGGGTAAAATGGGGGTAAAGTGGGTTTACCATGAATGTAATATGGGTGAAATAAGGGTGAAATAAAAAAGGAAACCCTAAATGGGCCATGTATCTTGAGAGATTCAGATTGTTAGTTGGACATTTAGTCATTTTAGATACATTAGACAATAGCAATTAAGGCTTTCTTTTTATTGCCAAGTGCTTGCCTTTAAGGGTTAACCAATATCACAATCTATGGAAAACAAATCTTCCCATTGATCCTCTGACTCAACACCATCAATCTAACCTAGTTTACAGTCAACCCAGTTGCGAAGTCAACGAATAAAACAATCATTCTTGGATGTCTTCACGTCGGGGAGTTCATAGCAAATGTTTGACTTGAGTGCTGAAGGAGACTCTTCGATATCATCCATCAGTAAGCCACTGGAGGAATGCCTGCAGGTAGCCGACATCCACTCTAGCTGAATTATTGATCCCGTCTGTTTCAGACCTTGAGTGAAATATGAATCAATTAAGCGACGACTCGAAATTGCAAGTTAATAAATTATTAATTTCCAGGTAAAACTATGATGTGATTATATCTGTCCATTATCAAGTTGTCTGAGCAGGTTAGCTGAATATTCTTTCTTCATTTGACTTAAGTATGTAAGTCTAAGTTTAAGAAGAACACTATAAATGTTTTTAAGTTTATTGGAAAGCAAACAAGTCCCTGGGAAAATATTGAGAAAAATGCTAATTGAACACTGGTCATTGGAAGGAAACATTAAATACAGTAGCATCCGCCCAAGACGTGCACAACTCAAGGACTTTCGCCCACTTTGACCACTCTTGCCTCCATGCTATTTCACACGCTTCGCTAACATCCACTTAATGGACGGAAGAACAAGATTAAATTCCCTTTTATTTCTTCCCATTGTAATCACAAACTGAAACATTGCAATTACCCCTCCGGCTGCACATCATATTTGTGGAAAACAAATGATGTCATTAGGTGTGTCTGGGCGTTCTCACATACTGCATACCACAGTGACAGTAGAATAAAACACCCTTTTTTCACGAGATATACCGGTAATAAGCAGGATCATGTTCACTTGTGGAAGCCCTCTCTTGTATTCAGGCTATATTACAGAAGTTAACCTCCCTCCCCCTGTAGATAATGATATTTCAGAGGTCGTAGCTGCACAGTGACACCCAAAGAGATTCATCTCTTATTCAACAGAACCAATCTAACTCCGTGTCTATCAGCCTGCAGCGGGAAGAAGACCATTTATTATAGAGGTGTGCTTGAGATGCTGTGTTGTTTCCAAGTGGTGCATCCCACGTTATCAATCCTAGGAATGGGGATAAAGAAAACTGGTTACATCACAACGGGGGGATAAAATATTAAGCCTTCCCCTATAATTTATGATTTACTGCCGTTTCAGAGAACATCAGATAAAACAAAACCAGAAGTATTGGGACTTCATCACAGAGCACATTTAAGCTTTCGGTTGACCATTAATTTAATTCAGATGTAACACAGTTTAAATGTAGCAGACACAGGCGGCTTGATGTGTTCAAAGTAGTCCTGTATTTCATTTCATGTTTGTCTCAGGCCAGCGTGAGAACCTCCGCTTGTTTTCGTATAATAAGAACATTCACTTTCTTATTAGAATAACACATCATTGTATCATCAATTGAAACTTGTTTACCCTCTCTGAGGGGAGCGGATAAATGATCCACAGCAGATGTCTGGCGAAACCGAGTCTTGTTAGTGTACATGACTGAAGAAAAAGGGCCGACAGAATTGTGCTCAGATCATGTTCTTACTTGACAGTGACAAACCTTAAAGGCAAGATGTGAGACAATTAGTCGACCTTGTCAAGAGGGAGCAGCTCGGTTCATGCCGGTTCAATAAGAATTGAAAGGAGAGCTGGTTTTGGCAGCGGGCGTAAAGAGGCCGGAGCGGGGCCAAAGTTGTACTAAAGTGGGCCAAGCTTGGCTGAAGCCGGCCTGAAGGAGGGCCGGATGGTCCAGCTGGAGGAGAGGTTAGCGGAGCGGCCGTCCAGTGGTTCAGGCTACATAACGTTGATGGATTGCAGCGCCTGAATCTCCCCTGGCCATCTGCAGGCTCTAATGTGGGCCACCGGGGGGTCCAGGATGAAAAGAAAATAGGAGAAGGATGAGCTACTGAGATTTATCTGACCAAGCGGAGGCTGAAGCAGCTTTCGAGGCTACAGCGACGGACGTTTTTCTTTTACTACCGCCGAATAGGGGCGCTTGAGATTGAATTCGGTGCTCATCCCAAAAAGATATCCTGGGGGCGAACATAAGACACAAAGCCCACATGAGGGCTCTGATGGAGAAGACGAGGAAGGAAGCGAAGGAGTGGAGATGGGAGGGGAAATGTGCCGTATTGTGTTACAGAGTAATAATTGATTTTCCAAGTGCTTTACAATAAAGGTTTTCAACAAACATATTCCGCCATAATGTGAGAAGGAAGGGGTTGATAAGCTAATGATACGAGACGGATAAAAATGGAAAAAGCTTTAAGAGGGAAGAGGAGGGCAGTTGATTGCAGCGGCTGATGATGAGCGATAGAGAGATGACATGAGAGGACACGGACTCACAGATTGGACAGCCACTTACACAGACATGCTGAGAGCTTTCAATTAATCCAGCCTAATTCAGCGGAGATGCGTGACTCTTGCACAGAATAATGAACCCGGCCAATTGGCAGTGTAATCAACAGCTCACAGCATCACAATACTTTACATATATCTATCACCTCACCTCGCCGGCTGTAGTACTATACATTCATGAGCACGAGAGGCATTGACTGAATGAAAGAACAGATAGAGAGGCCGCATTGATTGATAAATGGATGTAATGAACAAAGTACATCAAGGTGATTAAGTGAAGTCATATAATATTTTTCCTATTACATCCTGGAACCTGTTGGCCGCAGAATATGAATGATTGCGGAGATGTTTACCGAGTGCAAGAAGCACAATGTGACATTCATTTGGGGAATACAAAAACAGGAATTCACAAAAAAATAGTTTCCTATGTTGTTTATTCACAACTGCCCCGCGTAGCCCCTGAAAATGCAATCTCATAACTGTTAAGTCGATGTCAACAACAGTAAAAGCATTGTGGATGCGTTGGGAGATCCTGTAAATAGGCTTTTAATAGGGCTCTCTATTCTATGGCTATCATAAATTAGAGCCTACTGATGGCAATGCAGTGGAAACAACCATCTATTCTTTCCCGCACATATAAGACACAGGGGAGAGCAAGGAGAAGATTGAAGAGAAAGAAGTGAAAAAGAAGCTGCGAGGTAAAATGTGAGATAAGAGACACCTATCGGGAGAGATGGAGAAAATTACATAAGACCTGTGTTCCAGTGAGAAAACAGAAACAGGGATAATAACGTGAAAGGAGTGAGGGCGGTGGACGAAGCACGTAGAAATGAGAGGAAGTGGATAAAAAGTTCACATACACTGTATCTGGATTTTGATGTGTTTCTCCCCAAAGAGTAAGGGATCTTTTTTTCCACGGTAATTGCTCTTTGTCAGCCTAATTTGAATTCTGCATTTCATATATCATCACATACTCAGGGGACGCTGCACTGCAGAGGGGGGGGGGTTCAGCCCAGGTTAGGAAGCGCCACTTGGCTCCGGGTATGTTCTCAGTAATTAGGAAAGGTGCCAACGTTTGGATTTAATACGGCCCTGGGTGAGCGTGCGAGAGCTTGTTAGGGAAGTCTTTAGTCCGGACCCCCGAGGAGCATGTCAAGCATTTCTGTGTCAAAGGGTTCATCAGTGATTAGCTCTATACTCTGTGTCGCTGTGGGGTTTCCACGGGGCAAGAAGAGGGTGCACAAGATCGACAAACTCATCCCCCCCTTAAGCCTTACTGAACAAGTCAGATAGACGTCATCAGGGGAAGACTGGCGGGGGTTCATGAAGTCTTCTGTTCTCGGGGATCAAGTGAGTTTTACCTCTGAGCAGGAAATGATTGGTGCACAATCGACCGGCATGCACAAGAGAGAGGATAAGCAGGGATGATGAGAGGAACTAAATATTTGTGTGTGATATGAATGGGAGAGGTGGGAGAGCGGTGTCCAAAGGAATTTTAAATCATTGTAAACACACTTTGATTATTTGAGCTTTTTATGAGCCTTTAAGTTGGGCTTTAGCATCTTCAGTCTTAATTTGCGCGTTGAAATA